GCCTGGCATCGTAAATAACGCAGCGACAATTAGCACACGCGACAAGGGGTGTCTAAGGAGTGGCGAACGCCCTTAGCCATCGTGGCTGGAATATAGGATTCTCTCGCAATAAGGATTATTCCTTGCTTCTCGTTACAAGGGAGCAAAACTTTCTTTCATCGATGTTTCACCCCCTCGAAATTGTCCTCCAATGCTTTCGAATATAAATTGGGCAAATTGTAGCAAATGGATACTGCTTTTTGAATGATTCGTGCTAATTTCCCTGAATTTTGCTTTGTCGTACAGAGTGTTTAAAGTAAATTAATCTGTATAATATATCACTACTTGAATATTTCATAGACAATAAGTTTAATGATTATAAAGCGATTAAATGATTGGTCCACCAAAGCTCGGCCATTTTGTATTCCAATGTTGACAAGACATTTATACAATCCTTTTTTCCGACTTTAACCTTCAAAAGCAATAAACAAACTCTATTTTCAGTATGATTTGCAATGAAAATGTAGTAAAACCTCGTGCATATTTTATCGGTGTAATTTGTTCTATTTGAATACATTTCTTATTGTATTTAATTAACATTTCCGTTCTCCCGCAAAGCTAATAACATTCGTTACAATTCTTTCAACGGTTATCGACGCATTCGGCTTTCTGCAAAATTTCGCTGGAACGAAAACCGGTTGGTAAATCAGTTTCTCAGGCACGAAAACGTTCGGCTCGTAAAATCGTCGCTTACAGAAGGAATGAAGTCGTGAACGACGCGATTTTGCGAAGTTCAATGTTCTTCGAGTCGGGCTCGAGACTTCGCGAGGTTCGATATCTCGAGCCTTTATTCGAACTGGCGATCTTGATCGCGGTTTTCGCGTGTTATAAAACGTTGCAGCTACACAGGCGCCTTCTTAAGTATTCATCTTTTGAATAGTTTGGTAATTTAACAGACGACTCTGCCGTAGCGTCGAACCTTTAAACGGTTATAACTCCCTGTGTAAAGTGTGTTAAATCGTGACAGGATGCTTGAAATATCAGCTGTTCTGAAATTTTATTTTCTGATTTTAATAACACTGGTGAGCTATGCGTGTTTACTTTCAAATTAAAAATAAACAGGGAATGTATACAATCATTTCTCTTTTCGACAACAGCATGCAAACATCTCGAAGAGACTACTTTGACAAATTCCGTAATTTAATAGTTATTATTTTAAACACCAGCTTGAAACTTACTATGATCAATGATTCTTAAATTGTAATGATTTAATATCAATCTCCGGGAGCGGTAGTTTTTTATGACTTACCACTTATCATATATTTTTTGCAAGTCCAAAAGTTTCAAAGTCAACATCGTAAAATTCCAAAGTTTAAGAATGCAAAAACCCAAAGTCTCTTCCAAGTTTCGCTCTTCAAAAGTTTCAAAGTTTCAAAATTTTGAAATTCTCAAGCACCAGTATCGAAATTTCGTAAAATGTTTTAACAGATTAGGTGAATAGATCTATGTAAAAAATGCGATATAAGGTAATATCACATCGAAGAGGACACCCTGTACGAAGAGTTATAAGAGGGTCGCTGATGATCCCTCTGGTGGCGAACGCAGAAACTATCAGTGCATCTTCGGAACCAATATCCCCGTATCATTTATCCAATAACCATCTGAAACTGTCGTTTCCCGTGAGATGATACACAGCAGTCCCGCGAAACGCATCGAGCTTCCATTTAACGCGATGAACATCGAGTAAATCCCTGGTGAAAGTCGACGTTATTCGTATAAACTGCGCCGAGATACGGCTCGTCGCGTGTGTTCAGCACTTTATTAGTTCATAACAGTTTGCCGGTTAAGCAAACGTTGAATTCCGTGAGCCGTTTACATTTAATAAACCGACCTCGAGCACGCCACCGGCCCGTTTCTTTTCTTCTTCTTCTTCTCCTCTTCTTCGTCCTCGTCTTTTTGCCGCTTCTTAACGAACTCGCTTACGGATCCATTGTCGCAGCTGGTGATTTGTTTCGAGTGTCAGGTCGTGGAGAAACACGAGTACCATTGTGTTTTCCGTTCGTTTAACAAGATTTTTTGTATCCGTTTATCTTCATGCTGTTCACGTGTACGCGCTTTTATTGTGCTTAATTAGAAACCGCACGAGCGCGAACCAACAACGGAAATGGACGATCAGATTCGCTCGACAAGATTACCCGTAATTGTCTAATTAATAATAGTGAGAATCGTCTTTCAGCAGATTCCGAACGCTAATCGTTCACTGAGAATCTACTTTTAACGAGCGTAAGATTCTTTGATACATTGCATCAGGACAATTGCATCAGGGCTAATTACTACTGCAATATTAAGATAAGTAAAGAAAGTCGAAATGCGAGGTTTATTTCGAATTAAGATTTAGTCGATTGCAAATATAATGTGGGCTCGTCACATTTGAACCATAATGTCAGGAGCGTGACTGGGTGTTATAAACCAAGGTTGAACAGGTTTATAGAAGATTGGAACGTCAAGACAATTAATTGATAAGATTAGTTAAAAATCTGAAGGTGTCTACAGTACCCTTATGAATAGAGCCCGAGCTAATTGGACCAGTTCCCATTTTGGAGTGTCCCAACTATCTCACAAATGCAACATTCGTGAATATGAGCGCTTCTGCCAAAGAATAAAGTTATTCTAGTAGAGTAACATTTTAGTGAACGTTGTCCAGCAGCGAGACAGTCTCGAAACGAAGGTAGCCAGCGTAGAAAATAAAGGGAGTGTATAAAACACGTATAAATTAGGTTATTTACGGTACCGGTTAGCGTTCGTCCGATGTTAATGAAGATCACCTGGCACGATGGAAAAAGCGATTTGCATAAAGGCATTTATCAACGCAAAATAACGAACACCGAGAATCGCTGTGAATCCCTTTTATCGTTCTTTCTGCGTGGCAAGCACGCCCACCTAATTTCGCCCTGCTACGGATGTTGCGATTGTCAAATCTCTCCCCTTTCTCTGCGGAGGATATCCTGACCCACCCTCCGTCTCTTTTTTTTCGCCGTGAAAGACTCGGCGAAACAGTTTCGCTGAAATTGCTGCCGGTGACCGAAAAGGATCTGATTGTGGAATGGGCGCAGCACCCCGGAACCACTGTACCTTGGAACTGAACAGCTCACCAACGACTCTCTTTTCCTGGCTAACCGTTAACTGCGATGGTTGGCTACGAAAGTCCCTTCGTTGGATGTCCACGTAGTCTTTTCCTTCTTTTTCTGTTTCTTTCTTTGTCACGTTCCATGCGGTTCCGGTATGTCCGAGAGGCTTCGATACCGAGCGAAAAAATCTTTCGGTTCAGATCGGATTAAACCCTTTTGCTGGAACCTTCTGACTCTTCGAATGTATTTCTTCTACAACGAGAGGACTGTCGGAACGAGTACGTTCGTCGTCAGCTTTTTTTTCGTGGTTTTTTTCCTAGAGGCGAGTGATGGAAAACAGATTTCTGTGGTCTGGGAGATGTATTTGGAAAAGATGGTTGATTGGAGTTAGAACAGAACTTGTCCTTTCAAAATCATTATTTCCAAGTTTATATTGCAGACATTAAATAAATGGTAATACGTAGCAAATTGTGCAGAGTATAATTTCAGATTCTACCACGAATAAATTGATCAAGGAATCGCGATAAAGAATAAATTAACTAAGTGTTGCATTTACGCAGACCTTGAAGAGGTTAAAATCTGATCCCATGTACTTCAATCGTTCTTCGTTTCTTTTTTTAGGTTTAATATCGCTCGTAACCAAGGCCCCTAATAAAAAGATATTTATGTATTGTATAGTTTGGATACAAAGCAGCGGAATGTTGCTCTTTTGAAATAAAACTTCGCTTTCGATAGCTGGATCGTGTACCAAAATGATGCATCCAACCGAGGTCGTTGGTTATTTCTGAGAAGCTCCGAAACTAAAAACAGCACAGCCGATTCTATAAAGCGTTCACACTGCCATAAGTATTCTCAAGATACCCAACGCGGATTTCACTTCCCCGGATGAAGTCATTCTCTTTGGGTGAATGTATCTTTCTCGAGTTATCACTGACCAGCTTTATTCTTTCATATTTCTCTGGGAAAAGATATTCAGACTAGAGTCGTGTACACTAGAGTACAATGTTGTTCTTGTATTTGCAATATATTATTTTATATTGTATCCGCAATATGTTATACTTGAGTATTAGGCTACAATAAAAGTTTTGTTTGAGTAAGGACAAGAATGTGTAAATTGTTTTCAATTTTAGAAGATGAATTGTACAAAATTTTAAAGTTTTTAAATATACGAATTTTTAAAAGTTTCCAACTGTGTTCATGTATCCAAATTCCAAATATTCAAACACTACAAAATGTTGCAAGTGATCGAACACCTTTGTCAACAAAAAGTCACGATTAATCTTTCAATATAATTTTGTGAAAACTCGAATTTTTGACCGGTGTGGCATGTAACCCACAAAAGCTGCGAGTTCAAAGATGGGTCCCAAATGGAGCGTATCTCTGCGTGTAAGATGGCCGCACACCGTTCGCGAGTGTGTGCTGGCGTGTCTGTGAGGACGACCATGACTTGTCCTAGGGCCACGCCGGCTCCGGTATGGCGTCCAACAAGTGACTTCGCGAAATCGTGCTTCGTTCCTGAGAAATACGTTTGTGGAATACACATTTTCGAGCCGGTTGTGACCTGGCGAATTGAGAATGAAGAGAAACTCGAAATTGAAGAAACGATGTGCTTAAATTGTTCTCTTATTTTTCAAACTTGAATTAACCTTTTACCTTACTGCGAAGATAAGAAAGCGAGAAGTGTGTATTAAATTACACGTTTCGTCTTTTGATGCTAATTATGACCCACATATGTTGAATGCACACAAAACTGTTTCAGGTAAAATTACGTATTCAAATTTTAATGTAAGGGTGTCATATATATTCTTGATTAAATAAAAATTATATGTTATACCTTCGTATGGGTCACTAGGATTGTTTCGCTAATGGAGAATAAGTATTAATGTACTTTGAAAGGACTCAATAATTATGCAAATATTAAAATAGCTGTTATTAATGTTTATTATAATCCATACCTGCGGGCACGTAATGGCGTTTAAATTAACCGTCGATATTTCGAGGTAAAAAGGTACGTGCTGGTGCGTACGCGATAATCTAAATAAATAATCTAAAACTTCAGGCACGAAAATAAAATGTGTGGAGTCTCGTATTATAATAAATTTAAATTATCTCAATTTCAGCGGACCCACCGTCCAGTGATTAATATCGAGCCGTTATCGTGTAATTTGCTAAACTCGACCGGTGTTAATGCGTACACTCCATTTCAGAAATCGCCATAATTTTTTAGCGTGCAATTCGAGTATCGTATTATTCGAGAGTCATCTACTTATATATTACACCGTTGGAGTCCCGGCAATTAAGGATAAAGAAACTACCTGGTACACCAACAAATTCGAGTTTGTCACGTTTCCATGATGACGGTATCTTTCCTGCAACCGATACGGTGCTTTTTACCGAAACGAACAGCGCAAGAAGAAGAAGAAGAAGATACGTATCGTCCACTTTTGGATAACGCAACGTTCAACTGACCAGTAATTTCACGAGGGTCTAAAAAGATTCTCTCCGGGTCGAGTACATATTTTACTCTTTAATAACAATGTACTCGCCATCGTTAAGTCAACGTTAATTTACAGTCGTTTTGGAGCAGGTTCTTCAGGGTGGCAACAGAGAAGAGCAAGAAGAAGAATAAGAGGAGGCAGAAGAAGAAGGTATCGGTACATCGATGTTAAACGAAAATGATGGAACGATCCTGTACGCATTACCGATAACCATTAACGCTAATTGCTCGTCGAATCGTAATTTTCTAAAGGAGAAAGTTTGATGGGCGAACGGGACGCTCGTAAAACGAGCTTCGACTGCTCGTCGCCGTCGTCCTGAGGTATTGCAAAATTAATTAAGAGCGTCGATGTGTTATGAATCGGCGGGATAACGGGCGATAATCGTGACGCAAATTTCATCGTTTCGCTTTCGTAATACGCGAATCGTGAAATCCTGTCCTATGCCAGATGAAGCGTACGATAGAAGCAGACGTTCTTCTCCGTATTTTTATTGCCGGACAGAGGAGAATATTCCTCGCGAATGGAATACTTGCTCGATGGAAAACGGAATGTGGGACAATCGATGACCTCGTATCGGGAAAACACGCAAGAGAGGAAACGGTTTCGAGGAAGACGAAGCACGACCGAATAGATTTTCCAAGATTCACGAGTTCGCCTTTCGATTATTGATACTGAACGGCATGTTCGATCGAGAGTTCGATAATGGTCGTATTATTTATGTAACATCGGAGGGAATCTTACTTTCGCGTGGAGAAAGGGAGAAAACTTTTGAGAAACGGTGTTTCGATTTCTACAATCGTATTCCGGGGAGTTGACAATGTTTTCTGGCGGTTTTTGCGATGTGAAAACTAGCTTCGGCTCTGCTACTCGTGGAAAATACAGGAAGATTGAATTATCTTAAGTATAGTTCGAATATTCGAATGTAATGTGAATACAATAATGAATGATAACAGTAATGGATATTTTAATAAAGAGCTTTTGTCAGAATACCTTCAGTTTAAGATATGATTTTATTTTAAAATTAAAGTTCCATAGAAAATTTTTGATGAACTTCATGGTTATTTTCTGTGAAGATACAGGGAGGCCACGGAAACGATAAAGAACCATAACGACGTCAACACGAATAGGACTTATCGCCTCGGCACTATCTTCATCACCCTGTTGCCGATTCATAATTAATCACTTATCCACTTAAGAACTGATTAGCGACCAACGATCTGGAACGTGGGCACTTCTTAATATCGGTATCGGTTGCTTTTCATATCCCTAATAAAATTAACTGCAATGCTGAGGAAATCCTTCCTCAGTGATTATAGTTTCACTTTTAGATTCAGTAATGCTAACCCCAGTTTTTTTATACTAATTAAAAATTTAGGTCAATAATATTATTAGGTTAGTAATAATCATTGAATCAGAAATTCTATTTCTTCTAAGGAAAATACCTTCGTATTTATAGTACAAGTAGAATTATATTTTATAAATGCAATTTCTATTAAGTATGAGCAAAATGGAAGTACAATTCAAATACCTGTAAGCAAATTCCAATATTGCTTGAGTATGATCAAGTTTCAAACATTGATCAATAGAATTCAGGTATTTGAAATATTTCGACATCGATGTCTAAGTAGAGTTTAAGCAATATAACTCGAATGACTAATATATTCCAGCAGGAGTAAAGTTACGAATAAACGATTCGAAGTAATCGAAATATTTCGAACAGTTGGAATGCTATTGTGCAGCTCTAACCTAAATAACTAAAATAAAATCACTCACCGAGATCGCATGAGTCGCATGGCCGAAAGACACCTAATCCGCCATGCGCGAAGTTGCAGAGTAGAAATCCTTCGATGCAGCAAAATGCAACGCGAAGCAAGAACGGAACACACGTAACACAATCCGTCGGAAAAGTTGTCGTGTACACACGCGGCTCGATGAACGAACAAACTACTAGATAGTAGATCCAAGTTGGTAGCTCGTACAACCATGACCCCTCGTCGACGCGACGGCGGCCATGTCACGCGTGTGTCGGATATGGGACTAGAAATAATTGCGACTCGCAGCTGGCTCCGGTCCTCCTCTCTTCGCAGTGCCTTCAATTTTCCCCTGGACTGCCTGTCTGCCATGTTCCTCGTTTAATTGGATCACTGTTTCCATCCGTTGTTTTCAGAGAAGTCGTAGTTGTCGCCGTTAGAACGTTACCTTCGAGACTTCTCCTCGAGAACAAAATTCCTCCACTCTCGTTGATCGTACTTCGTCTACAAACAACGCCGACACAGAACGCACGACACGTTTGCACGCCGTAAGATACATTTATGCATCGAGCTGGGAACGACTGCCATTGTTCTTTCAAATGTACGGAACAGTATGGGTACTCTGTTACTGTGTTGCCAACGACTGTCTACGCTGAGTCTCGTCCGTGTGCTGAAATATGTTCTTCAAACGTAACTTGCCAACCACTTTTTCCTCAATTCCTACGGGTTTTGTTTCCTTACTTTAGGTTAGTTCATATGCAGAAGACCGTTACCGAAATTTGAACGTTCGAATATTATTAGCATCTGATATTCAAATATTTTGATTGCGAATTCAAGTAGGAGGATTTTCGAATATGAGAATTTGAAATGCGAATAGAGTACTAAAATTCAGATTCGAAAGCTGAGTAACAATGAACCAAAGTGTTAGAATAAAAAACGAGTTTGACATTCTTCCAATTCTCACAAGATAAAAAAGATAAGTCTTGTCAAAGAAAAATCTATTGTATTTTCAATTATACTAGAAAGATTATGTTATGGACATTTTCAACTTATCTTTGCACGTCGAATCACGTGTTGCCCGCATGGTGTGTTGTGGCAGTCACATCGAAGAAGGGAAGCGACAAGAAGTTGGTCAAAATTGAGCTCGACAGTGCGAGATAACGAAAGAACACTATGGTTCGGTAGTTGAACAGTGCAGTCGTTCCAGAGTAGGAGTCGCATGCCGGAGGCGACGACGTACAAGTAGGTTTATATTTCGCGAGGAACGAAGACGACGACGTTGACGTCCGGTGTTTCGTAGACAAACCTCGTCGACAGAATGACAGAAGCGCGGCGTGACGATACACAGTGATGCTAGCCTAAACCCTGTCACGGATACACACCGGCGCACGGGACAGAGACCGAAGAAACGAGAGAGGAAGATCGCCGGTCCAAGGTCCGGTCCGTCGAGGGCTGATTACCCCTTTACGAGCAGCCAAGGTCTCTCTTTTGGCCACGGGACGCGAACAACTACTGCCTTATTACCCGACCCGTCACCTTGCTCCTTCAAAAACGCCTAATAACGCGGCGTGCCTCTTTTTTCGACCCCCACCATCCCTCGATCACTACCTGAGCAACGGCGGAAGAAAAAAAGACTCGAGGTTGCCCGTTAACCCTTCGAAGGCCGAAGGGGATGACGAAGCTGCGTGTACGGAAGGAAGGGTTGCTGTTTGCCACGGTCGAGACCTTGACTCGATGCGGCTGTAAAAACGCACAAAACAACCCTTTTTTAGGACGGATGAAGTCAGTTGGACCGCGACCTTGGACGCGCCTTATTGCCTAAGAGGGTTCGTTCCTTTTTTTTATCTTTTCTCGTACCCCGTTCGAGGTCGCGGTTTTCCGAAACTGAAAGAACCGGAGGAAGCGAACGACGAGCGTGACGAGGCTTCAGCGAAGGATCACCGTGGGTAATTAAATGACCGGCTGTTTTTTCCTGCCTTGGGTTACGCCGATTTTATCGTGGTTTAAGTGGGTCAAGATTCGTGTTGATACTGTATTTTCAATTTTGCTTAGCTTTGGAATTAAATAAAAGAATATTTTACCGTCCTTTTATTGCTTCCTATGCATGGTATTCCTGAACCGAGTATCCTATTTTTAAATTTGTGATTGGGTATAAATAACAAAGATGTTAAAAAGTTTGAAGATAGAAAATTTGTGAGCAGACTTAAAAATCTAAAACATTAAAAATTCTGCAACTCCGAAAAACCTGAAGCGTAACTCTAATAACTGTAGTACGTGATCTAAGGCGAGCATAGGAGTTTATAGTTCACCTCAAGGTGGTAAACAGAGAAGATGGCTGACTTAACGATGGGATTATGTAACGACTTCATCTCCGTCAAATTTCTTGCTCGTTTCGCTACTACTCAAGATTATTACTCGTTCCAATTTGCATGATCATGGAGGACCATAAGTTATCCTTGTTAGCGAATATCCTTGATGTCCTCGCGGTAAGGCCACTGCGAAGGTCGCTGGCTAGTTTCAATAACCATCCCGGTATTCATCCCGAAAAACCGAGGGAGAGCTCTTTTTTTACCTGAGCCACGGGTAAAAGCACGGAGGAACGAGTTAGCAAGGAGAATGAAAAAATACGTTCTTTTTACAGTTGGAGGAAGCGCATCGTCTAGGAGCGGTCTTTGGATTTCTTCCTCCTAGTTTTTCGTAGTCGTTACGCTCGATGATTCGATAAGACGCGAGCCAAGTGTTGAAGTCATTAGCGTTACAACTTGAACATTCTTAGAAAAAGTTTGATTGTAAAGTGTGCAATTAGTGCGAAGAGGTTTCTTTAATTGCTATTAAACATCGTTAGAATTGTAAAAAGGAAATCTTATTAATTTACCAACATGTACGACGTTTCTGAGTGAAAATTATACATCTGCGAGTCAAGACAGTGCAAAAGTAATTGATATAGGTTACGCTCTGTAAATATTCGCCGAACGAATAAATAGATACGAAAATTTTAGAATTGGTAAATTCAGTTCGAAATTTAAAAAGTTTAGGGAAGGTTGTTATAAGAATTTCTTGGAATAAGAAGTACGATTGTATCATGGAGTAGCGCACTGATTGGCGGCCATTATACGGACGTATGAAAGATTCTCCTCTGGTGCCTTTGTGGTATCTACTTGTTGATAACCTTTTATGAGAACGCCTATTTATTACTTCGCATTTGGAGTCAATCTAGCGTGCTTTTGTTCGTGTCTTCTCCAACAACCTCTTCTTTCGAATAAATACGATTACTTGAAATTCCGAGTATTTATATTTTAATTGGTGTACGTGTTCTGTACGTTGATAAAGATGTGATAAAGCAGTTTCTTGAGAATACTAACACGAAAAAAGATCTAAACTGAATAAACTCGACTGTATGTAGAAAATTGAAAATTATAAAAGGAGACAACCAGTTATTTATCGCGTGCAAAATACGTATAACGTGTTAATTGACGTGGTAATTTAAGTCGTTTAAAATTAGAAGAAGAAAATATATATCTGCGTTAACAACCGCGAACTATTAATAATTCTTATCGTCGAGGTAGAATTGTGTTATTTTAGAAGATGAAAAGATACAGTACGATCTTGTTAATTAGCTAACACAAAGTTAAAAGGAACATCGGTGACCAACACGAGTGGATACACGTTCACCGAGCAGCTACCCGTATCCCGTAAGCAAATATTTCGAGTGTATCGAAAACAGGAAATCGAACGCGATGAAATGAAAGACAAGTACCGTTGAATCGACGGGAATCGAAAATCATCCGGTAGGATCGTTCGAGTAGCTCGAATAGAGGGCAAAGAAGAAGAAGGCAGCTGAAGGAGGAGTCAAGTTGTTTATTTGATGGTGCCGTAAAAGGCCTCTTTATGTTTATCTCCCATTTAAAACGCTCACATAAAACCGGCGACTGCGCACACAAACCATCAGCCAGCTATAAATCACGCCGCGAAACGCGAGTGCCGTTTGAAAGTCGCCTTGATTCGCGTAAGCGGAAGATGATCGGCCGACATCTTGAGCACCGACCGACGGATCAGTCGCGACCTAATCCACTGTCCAACGTTGTTCCCTTCTTTCGCCACTTTTTCCTTTCTATGCCCTACGGTTTTATGAAATCAATTCGATTGACTTACTTCAACTCATTACTTCTTAACGGTTCAGTTTCTTCGTTGTAAT